TTTATTAAAATTACCAATATATTTATAAATATATTGGTATTTAGAAAATATTATTTATTATAAAAATCTATATATAAATTTAAATTATAAATTTTATAAAATGATGATTTTTATAAAATTTTTATAAATATTTTAAAAATAATATGTAAATTCATAATAACATTTTAATGTATATATGAATAAAAGTATTATATAAGATAAATTTTTATTAATAATTCTTACATATAATTTTAGTAAATAAATTATTAATTAAGTTATTATATATTTAATCACAATAATAATAATTTATATATTATTATATAACTTTAAATTTTTAATTAATATCATATTTAATTTATATATTATATATACTTATTTTATAATATTCATTATTATTTATATAATTCCTTTTTATAATTTTATTATTATAGTATAATTATACCAATATATTTATAAATATATTGGTATTTAAAATTTTATTTTCATCATTATATATTCAAGCATTACTAATTTCTTTTACTATAAATATTAGGTATTAGTTTATTAATAAAATATTGAGTATTTTATTATCATAAATCATAGGTAATATTGTCATTAAAGTTACTTTAAAAAATTAAAAATTTTTTTAAAGATACTCCTGATATAAATAATTTAAAATTCCGATAATAAAAACAATTTGGGTAAATTTTATTTAAAAAGTTTTTAATCTTAAATAATTCATAATATGTATTTTAATAAAAAATATTTAATTAGGCTCTTATAATGTATATAGTATAGAATATATACAATAATTAATCAATACAGAACGATTGGTTCGACCGAAACCACGTTCCTATCGAACTAAATAAAATAATAAATAACCCTAACACATAATTAAATTAACCGAAATTTACACATATAAAAAGTGTAAATTTCATAAAAGATATTATTTAAAACACAAAAGATAAGTTTTTATTTCTTATAATACCAATAAATTTCCTCTTCCAGAGATTATAAACATGAATATAGAGTAAGATAATGAGTATTATCCTATAAATATCCCCAAATTTACTAAAAATATAGAAATTATATTAACTGATGTATAAATAGATATATTATTGGTTAAATAGAATTTAATTTATTATTAAAAAATAAAACCAATATTTTATAGAATTAATAATTATTAAAAAGATTTACTATTTTTTTCTTTATTTTTTCAATTTTAACTATAAATTACCTTATAATAGTGAATAATTATATTTTAAATAATATAAATACTATAAGAAGGTAAATTGTATACAATTTATTAGAAATTAATAAGTAACCATTGAAATGTAACTTATAAATTTTATTATTAAATAATTAAAATATAAAGTATTTTTATATCCAAAATATTTAATAATAATTATATTTTTATTAAATATTAGAATATTATAATGAATAAAAATCTAATGAAATTTTATTTAAAAATTAGTAATTGATTACTAATTTTATATTTTAATATAAAAATAGATAACTATAAATTATTAGAGTTAAAAATATTTTAATAATTTATACTATATAATATATATGAATATATAGTATTTTTAGTAGTAATAAATAATATATCTATTTATTTTAATTTATAATATATTTATATAAATTTGAATAATTAATTTATTATATAGTTTTTATTTTTTTATAAATAATATTTAAATAAATTCTTATATTTTATATAATTATCATTTAATATATAAGTAATACATTTACATTAAGTTTATTATATTGTTATTTAAATAATCATCAGTTGAAACTATAATTTTTAGCTTGATTTTATAATTATAAGAATATAATGTTATTCTATTTATATATACTTTTATTAATATTATAATGACAAAGTTATTTTATTTTCTTATTTTCTGATTTTTTATTTAATAATTTTAGAATCTTTATTTTTAGGATTTAAAATATATTTATTTTAATAATAACTGTACTATTCTATATAAATTTAATCTATAATATTTATTTTCTATAATATTAGAATAATAAAAATAATATCCAATTGATAATATATATATATTTTTAAAATAAAAAGAGAGTATAAAATAATAATATTATTATTTAAATTATTAATTTTAGTAATTAGTGTATATTATATTTTTCTAATGTAAGTTATATAATATATTTAATTATAAGTTCTTTAATATTTTCTTTATTAATATTATAAATATTCTATATACAATATTTAAATTCTCTAAATCTGATTTAATATAGTAGTAAAAATTTAATATAAAAATATAATCTTTTATATTTTTATTTAAATTTTTTATATCATATAAAAAAAAATAATAGATAAAAGATTTTAAAGAATAAATATAAAAATAATCAAATAATAGATAAAAGATTAATAAGATAGTGTATTATCTGTGTAATATAGTTTTAATATTTTTTTTCTTTTAAATTACTAGTTTATATAGTTTGGTAATTATATAAGAGTTACAATTATTGTAATATATTTAATGTTAGATATTGATAATATATATTTAATATATTGAAAACTTTTAAAAAATTGTTTAGGCATATGTACTATCATTTATGAGGTATAATGTCATTTAAATTTTTAGAGTAAGTAATGCTTAATATTTACAAGTAGATATTCATTTGTCTATATATATATAATTTTATTGTATTATTTATATGATTAAAATGCTATAAAGATAGTAATTGATAAATGTTTAAAGTTATTTATAGGATAAATATTATAAAAAATAATGATAGTATTAACAATAAAAAAACACTATTATTTATAAAATTTTATATATATAAAATTTTATAATATATAGAATAAATATATTATACATATATCGATATATTATAATCGATAATAATTATTCTAATTGATTATAATTTTAATAAATATATTATAAATTTTATAATATAATTACCAAGATTTAAATTATATTTTAGAAAAAATTAAGTATATAAAATTTTATTAAAATATAGATATAAATTTTATTAGATTACATAAAAACTTATATAAAATTAATAATAAAAAATAATAAATAGGTTTCATTTTTAATTATTATTTGATAAATTTAATTTTTATTATAGTAATAATATTTACTTATAAATACCAATAAATTATAATTTATTGGTAAATTTTTTTAATATAAATGAGAACATTATAAATATAATAATTGGTAATATTTTTTATATTACGGTTAATATATATATTTATTACTTATATTTTTACTATATATCTAACTATTTAATTTTCTGGAATAATTTATAAAAATTAGTATAAAGTTTATGAATTTATATTAATTTGTTAATTTAAAATAATATTTTTATTTTTTTAATAATTTTAGATTAAAATTAATTAATATCATGTAAATAAAAATAAGGTTATTAAAAATAATTATGAAAATATTTTATTTAATTTATATTTTCATATTAAAAAACTTTATATTACTAAAAATAATAATTTTATATTATTTTTTTTCAATGTTCTCTCTTATTTAGTAATTTGTTATTTTTTTATAAATGTAAATATTTTATTCATTAATAACCGATAAATAAATTTATTTATCGGTTATTATAAAATTTAGATAATGAAAATTTACTTTATATTTATAATCTTTTTAAAGTAATTTTTAATAATAATTTTGTTTTATATAATTAGATTTATAAATTCTTTTTATTATTTATGTTAATAATAATAAATTTTTAATTACTCTTTTTTAATAGTAATTATTAGTATATATATATATCTATTATTTAATTTATAAAAGTTTATAAGATTTATACTACAAATTCTTAATTTATACATTTTTTTATTTAAATTTTTATTGATATAATATTTATTCATACAATTAGTATTATAATAAAAAAAAATTCTTATATTGTACTAAAATTATAATATATTAATATTAATGAACTCTACTAAGTTTTTAGAATTTTATAAAAATTTATAATTGTAGACTAAAAAGATCTTAAAATTATAGGTAACAAAAGATTACCATAAAAAATAATTTTAATAAAACAGAATTTAAATTTGTTTTTTTTTTTAATTAAAATATTATTGATTTATTTTTACTAATTTATCTATTAAAAATTTTAATTTTAAAAATTAAAAATTTTTAAATATTTAATTATAGTCAATATTATAAAAATATTATAATAAATGTAATATAAAAATTTATACTAAATATTAAAAATAATCTAAAGAATCAATTTTATTTTTTCTATTATTTTTTTCATTTTTAATAATTCTTATGAATTTATACTGATTCATAAATATTTTATATTTATAAATATCTTCATATTGAAATTTTTAATATTTGTGAAAATAATCCGATATAATAGATACTTATAAAATTAATGCACTTGATACCGATAAATTATATATAATTTATCGGATTTATTATTCTAATTATTATTATACTAATTTATAATCATAGAAAATAATATAAATAATAATGACCATAATAATAATGATCAAAATATAATAAATTTGGATAAAAATTTTTCATATAAAAAAAAATTAATGTTTGACATAATTTTTATAATATATAAGATATTTTAAATGATTTTAATTACACAGATAAAATTATTATAATCATTATAATAATTTTATTAATATTAAAAATACTGAAATAAATGAGGGAGAAATTTATTTTAAATAATATTTTCATAATTTTTTTTAATAAATTTATAAATTTTAAATTAAATATTATATATCTTATTTACATATTTAAAGAAAAAATTCATTAATTATTTTTAAATTTAAATAATAAAAAGCCAGATTAGCTTAATTAGGTAAAGCAGTAATTTTGTAAATTACTTATTATGGATTCAAATTCCCTATCTGGCTAATAACCTACTTGGAGAAATTGGTAGACTCAAACGACTTAAAATTGTTTACACTTTGTGTGTGAGGGTTCAAATCCCTCAGTAGGTAAAAAGAGAAGAAAGCATTTTGGTATTGCAATCGCCCTGTAAAGGCGATGGTTTCGACCGTTCTGGGTTCAAATCCCAGTCTTCTCAAATATATAGGAATAGGGGGGGGGATAGCTTAATGGTAAAGCATACTGCTCATAACAGGAAAAATGTTAGTTCGAATCTGACTCCCCCCAAAAAATAAAAGAATGCGAATAAGTGTTAAGGTAGCATATAAGACTCATGATCTTAAGGAGGTTGTTCAATTCAATCATTCGCATAATAAAGATTGATATTTATCAATCGATCAGTAGATTTAATAAATCATACTGATTAATAAGATCTCATCATCTAAAGGTAGGATTTGGCACCTTCACTGCCATAATGTTCGTTCGAATCGGACTGAGATCAAAAATTAAGGAATCGTAACTTAAAGGTTAAAGTGTTTGGTTGATAAGCAAAAAATAATGGTTCAATTCCATTCGATTTCATAAAAGATTAGATATCTTAACGGTAAAGTATTGGGCTGCAAACCTAATTATGAGTGTTCAATTCACTCTCTAATCTTTTAAATTAAAAGGGAGTATAACTTAATTGGTAGAGTATCAAACTTTTAATTTGTATTGTTTGGGTTCAATTCCCAATACTCTCACATTATGCTTTGATAGCTTAACAGGTTAAAGTACGGAACTGAAAATTCTGGTTAGGATGTTCGAGTCATCCTCAAGGCATTGGCTGTAGTAGCTTAAAGGTAAAGCCAATCACTGTTAATGATCGGATCTCTGTTCAATTCAGGGCTACGGCTTAGTTAAGAAAAAATTAACTAAAGGAAAAATCGCCTAATGGTATGGCAATAGTTTGCTAAACTGCGGATGTATAACATCCTTGGGGGTTCGAATCCCCTTTTTTCCGAAAATAAACAATAGAATATATTTTCTTATCTAAAAAATTTTAAATATGAAATTAGCTTTATTATTATTTTTAATCGGTATATATGGTATAATTTTAAATAGAAAACATTATCTTTTAGTTCTAATCTCTATAGAGATTCTATTATTAGCTGTTACTATTTTAGTTCTTTATTTTTCTATACTTCATGACGATATGTTAGCTCAAATATTTGGTTTATATATAATATCTATTGCTGCTGCTGAATCAGCTATAGCTTTATCTATATTAGTAGCTTATCATCGATTAAGAGGTACAATAAATATTTCCTTACCTTCAGAAACAGTATTATTACCTAAATTCACTTTATAATAATTAATTCTAGGGTAGATGACTGAGTTGGTTTAAGGTGCTTCGCTTGAAACGAAATAAAGTATTTTACTTTCATGGGTTCAAATCCCATTCTGCCCGTACCGGATAGTAGTGTAAATGGTAACACGTTTAACTTGGGACTAGATGATTGCGAGTTCGAGCCTTGCCTATCCGAAATTCTGACGAAAATTATAGTTAATAGTAAAATTAAATTCTCAAAATTTTTTATAAAATGAATACATTATTATTATTTATTATATTAACACCAATTATATTAACAGCTTTATTAATAATTAATCTTATTATACCAGTTAATAAACCAGATTTTTCTAAATTATCCCCTTATGAATGTGGTATGGATACTATAGGTACAGCTAGAGAAAAATTTAATATACAATTTTATTTAGTGGCAATATTATTTTTAATATTTGATATAGAAGTTATATTTTTATTCCCTTTTGCTTCTGTTTTATACAATATTTCTTTATTCGGTTTTTGAATTGGTACTATATTTATTTTTATCTTAACTGTCGGATTTGTTTATGAATTAAGTAAAGGTATATTAAATTTTACTGATATTTAATTGAATATAATTCTATTTATTATAATAAATAAAATTTGTCATTATTTTTCAGAAAAATAATTTAATTGGTAAAATACTAGTCTCCAAAACCAGTTTTAAAGGTTCAAATCCTTTTTTTTCTGATTTTTCTCTTAAGCACTTTTAACTTAATCTGGTAAAGTAATAATCTTCGAAATTATAATTATAGGTTCAATTCCTATAAAGTGTTATAAGGCGAATATAGTTTAAAGGTAGAACGACAATTTGTGGCATTGTATATATGGGTTCAATTCCCATTATTCGCCAAAAAAATAACTCGTTTAGCTAAATAGGAAAAGCATCGATTTTCTAAATCGTCTATTGTAGGTTCAATTCCTTCAACGAGTTTTTTTTAAAATTATTATTTTTTATATAGGGAATTTAGCTTAATTAGGTAGAGCTTCTAGCTTACAACTAGATGGAAGTAGTTCAAATCTACTAATTCCCAAATTAATTATATATTGAATATAAATTATTTAGAAAATATTATATGAAATTAAAAAAGATGATAACTATTTTTAATCTATAATTATAATATAAAATAATTAAAAATATAAAACTTTTATATATTTAAATTTTATAATACTTCAGTAATTTATAATATATAATAAATATTTTGGTATTTAAATATTTATATATTCTGAAAATAAATAATTATTAATAATTTTATTTTTAAAATTTATTAATAATTATAAATAAAACGTATATGAATATTTTATTAAATTTTATATAATTTAATAAAATATTAAAAATGAATATTTATTTAATTTTGTTATAATACTTACTATTAATATCAAATCATACAATCGAATATACTAATACATCGAATAGGTAGGATCTAATAATAAAAAAAAAAATATCTTAATTAAGATATTCTAAAATAAATTATTTTTGTCATTGGTAAATTTATTTTAATATCATCTTTACTTAAAAGAAAATTTATGATTTTCAATATATGCATAAAGGATATATTTATATCATTTACATCTTGACTTTTTAAAAATTTTTAATTATCTTGAGGAACATAAAGCAGTAATTCGCTAAAAAGTGTATAAAAAACGATAAAATTTTATGTGATTAAATAAAATTTTATCATTAAGAGATAAATTATTAATAAAATTATCATAAGATATATTTATTTTGGATTTAAAAATAAATCCATGATTCAAATATCAATTTTTTTTGTGTTTTTGAAGAAATATATTATCTAATTTATCAAATCTAAATTTTATTTGTGTTCATTAAAAATTTTTAATAATATTACTATCTATTTTATAATGTAATTTATAAATATCAAATTTTATTATTTACTATAACAGAATATATTTAATTCGTATTTAAAGATTCATTTGATAATAATTTTTTTTTGGTTCGTGAAAAAAGAAAAAAATTTTAATTTTTTTTTTAATTAGTATTTTAAATAGAATAAATAAAAAAGGGGGTTTTAATATCTTTTAGAGTATTATTAATATTAAATAAAATTTATTATTAAAAAATAAAAATTGGAATAATTTTAATTAAAAAAAGAATAAATATAATAATAAAGAATAAAATATTTTCTAAATATTTTATATACAAATATATTATGAATAATTATTGAATTAATAAAAATTAATTGAAAATATATAGATTATAAAATAAATAATGTAAATTAAAAATATAATTTATAAATATAATAAAATAAAAATATATTAAATTATAAATAAGATTATTCTAAAAAATATAACAATAGATTATTTAAGGTTTAATTTAAAATTTATAAAATCAAATAAATTATAATTTATCGGAAATATATATAAAATTATTTATTAAATAATAATTAATATTTTCATTTAGAAACATTTATAAAGAATTTTAGTATTTAATATAAAAAAAATATAATACTTTAATAGGAGAAACTCTTTAAAATATATTAAAAATTTAAATTTATTTAAAAATAAATTATAAGTATGATTAAAATTTATTTCTAAAATAAGGTAAAATAAAAATTAATCATGGTACTATAAATATAAATGTGACAATTAATAATAATATAGATATCAAACTTAGGATATAATAAAATTTTATTATTTTAAGAATATTTATATTTAAAATTTTTTCAAAATTTACCCAGGGTATATTATTTATTTCTTTTGGATTTTGTACTATATATTTGATTTTAAATTATTTATTTTTTCTATAAATTTATCTATGCAGATAATGAAGAAATAAATAATACTTTAAATTCTTAACGGAAATATTAATAATATTTCCGTATCTACAAATCCGATAAATTATAATTTATCGGATTATAAGGTTATATAGATCTTATACTTTAATAGGTATTTATTATAGCCTCCAGTCTAGTGAGTTAACATTTTACAGAAGTTAAAATTACTTTATAATAAGTGGATAAATATCCAAATAAATAATTTATATGAAAATTGTCAAAACATAATTAGATATAGGTACATATATTGAATTATAGGAGTAAAAAAATAATCCTAGAGAAAGTAATAAAATCTATAAACTCCAACTTAGAGGATTTTGATATTTAATAATGTAATAAAAAATTTCACATGAACAGATATATTACTAAATAATTTAAAAATTATAAAATATTTATAAGGTTTATAAATATAACCATTGAAAATAAACATTAAAAAATATAAATATATATTTAATATTTGATTATTATTTATAAAAGTGTGATAATTTTTTATATTATCTTAATTTCTTTAGTTTATAAATATAAAAAATTACCTTTATAATTATTCTATAAAAATTACTTTATTTAAATTAATTAAAAAATTTTAATTGTTTATTAAACTAGATAAAATTTAGTAAACTTATAAAAATTAAATTGAATGTATGTTAAAAATAAAAAAGAGATATTTTATTACCGTATAATTTATACCGTATATTTTTTATTAGCGTTATTTATATAGAATTAATACATTAATTTATATAAATAATTAAGTCAATATAAAGTGAATAAATTATATTACTATAACTATAAATTATTATATATTTATTGAAATAAAAATTTTAAAGTTAATGTATTATAAATTTATATTTTATATAATATGTAATCTCCCATATTATTTATAATATAATTTTTATCTCTTTATTTAATGTTATATTATAAATTACTTTTATAATTTAATTAATTAAAAAATTAAAAAATATAAATATTAATTAGTGATAGTAAAATTCTTAATAAACTTTATAATTATTAAAAATAATAATTTATTTTGATTTTATAAATTAGAGATTTTCATTATATTTTTTATAAAAGGTATATAATTTCTTCTTTTTATAAAAAAATAATTAGATATAAATATTATTAATTCAGTTTTATACCATATAATGTTTTATTTTACTTTAGAATAATTAAATTATTAACTAATATAAATTTTTAAATAAATTTTAATTAAAATTTTATTAGCCAGTGACTTATAATTTTTTAAAAAATTTATACATATTTAAATTAATGAAAATTTAAATTTTTATTAATAATAAAATAAGAATTATTATAATAATTGATTATTATTTTTTATTCATACTCTAAATATTTTTATAAACTATTACTATTATCATATTTATATATAATATCTTTACTTAATAATATTTTTAAATACATTTTTAATGTAATATATTATTTTCTATGTTATTTAATAAAATTATTATTTTTACTATATTTTTATTTTTTTCCTTTTTTATATAATTAATAATTAATGCTTATAAACAATATTTTCCATTAATTATATTAATAATTTTATTTTTTATGATTATTATTATAGTAACTTTAGTTATAATTATAAATTAATATATATATATTTTATTCAATCATTTTTAGTAATATAATATTATTTAATTTATAAAAATTATAAAAGGTTTTACAACTTTAATATTTAGTATATTAATTATTATTTTACAAGTTATAAATTTATTAATAAATTTTTTTATAAAATTTTGATTATTGTAATATATTAATTATATTTTAAATTTTAATAAATTTATGATATATAATATTATTTCTTATTATTTGTTTATATCTATTTTATCTTATTATATTTTTATATAATTTTTAATTAAGTTTTTAAAAAATAAAAAAAAAATAATAAACTAGAATAAAAAAATTTTATTTTTATTTTAGAGCTTTAGAATGTTATATATTTTATAATATAAATAATTATTAATTATATTTTAAAAAAAATTTTAAATAATAATTGAACGAATTATAATTCGTTCAATCTTTAAGTATAATAATTGTAAATTTATTAACATATATTAATATGTTAATAAAATATGTCATCAAAATTTCCTTTAGGTTCAAAATTAAAATTTATTGGAAGTTGAAAAAGAATAACTTCAAGAAAATATAAAGATATAAATAAAAATTTTATTAAAGAATTATGTATAAAAAAAATATTAAAGATTTTATTTTATAAAATAGGTCATATAAGTACACCTAGATTTTATTATACTAATAATAAAATTAAAATATATATATTCTTTTATGGAAAAAATTTTAAATATTATTATATAAATAAATATAAAAAAAGATCAATATTAAGATGTAAAAAAAATAA